TAATTGATAAGTGTTTTTAGCCTATTTAAGTGCGATATGTCTTTTTATCTCTCATGCGATCCTAATGCTTAAGAAAGTCATATCTATCCCAATGTCGTCATATATATTTATATATCTGAAAATATACCGTGTCCCAGATGGGTACATATCTCCCACTAAGTGTCATAGAGCGGTGTTTGAAGCCAAGGAAAAAAACAAATTTTGACAGTTATCTTTCAAGGCAGATGATTCCAACGAGGATGATTTTAACTACCAATTTATTTCTTGATCTTCTGATAGAGACTGTTAACTTTATAATAAATATTCATATCTATCTATCTATCTATCTATCTATCTATCTATCTATCTATCTATCTATCTCAGCCAGAATATAGCTACGCACACACGCACTCTCTCACACTCTCTATCCCTCTCTATCCCTCTCTCTCACACACACACACATGTATGTCTTTCAATGCTTTTTACACATCGATCTTTCTGTTTGCTTTTTCATCTCCTTTTTCTGAGTAAATTCCTATTTATGTACAAATATGTCTGTACCTATTCACACCACCATGTCTCTCTGTTTATTATGTTTTTCACTTTTGCTTTGCTATCTATCTATCTATCTATCTATCTATCTATCTATCTATCTATCTATCTATCTATCACAGTCTCGTTTATATATATATATATATATATATATATATATATATATATATATATATATATATTCAATTAGAAGAAAATAAAGAACCTATCTATCTTTTCCAGACTGAATATATCGTTACGCACTCACACGCACATGATACGCGCACACTTATGTTTGTGTGTGTGTGTCTGTGTCTGCCACATACATGTCTATCTTTACATCTCTTTTTATCTTTTTATCCAACTCTATCTGTATCGACTTTTATATATCGTCTGTCTCTATTGTCTCCCTTTTCTTTTCCTCTGTCTCGCTATCTATCTATCTATCTATCTATCTATCTATCTATCTATCTATCTATCTATCTATCTATCTTGTCTACTTTGGGTTTGAAGGGGTAGAAAACTTTTCTCTTGTCACGAATAATCACTTTTCGGATGCGGGTAAAGGTCAGTTTTTTAAATGCTGATTATTAAGACAAACAGACATGTTTTTTTTTTTTTTCCCCGAAAAATTGGCGCTACACAATGAATGTATTTGGTTAATTGAAATGGAAAAATGCCTTTAAAAGTTTTTTTTTTTTTTTTTTTTTTTTTTTTTTTACTTGTTTTTTTGAAACTAACGAACGCTCACTGTCTAACTTTAAGAACCGGTAAAGTTTATGAATAGAAATTAAAGGAAAACTGGTGTAGTTTTTTCAAATGAATGGCCTCCCAATACAAAGCGGAGGAGCCACTCAAGGTAGAGGGTTACTGAGTGGGGTTGTTGTATGGACGCTATAGGGTAAGTAAATACAAATATATTAGTAAAATCTAGGATACGGAGGAATCTAAATGCAGACGATACGCATGTGCACGAGCAGACACACACACTCACACACAGATATACACGCACATACACACACACAGATACACATCAATACACATACAGAAGAACACAGATAAACACATCCACGCAGTTACACACACACAGATACACACAAAGAGACACACGCACAGAGATGCACTCACGTACACAGATACGCACACACAGATACATACACACAGACACAGATACACATACGCACACACAATAAGACACACACAGATACACACGCGCACACAGATATACCCACGCACGCAGACAGAAACGCGCGCAAATACACACGCACACAAACACGCGCGCAAATACACACAAACACGCGCACTCACATATACACACACGCACACACACAGATACACACAGACAGACACGCACGTGCACACTGATAATTCAGTAAGCTTGTATATATATATATATATATATATATGTGTGTGTGTGTGTATGTGTGTGTATGTGTGTATGTGTATGCGTGTGTGTGTATGTGTGTGCGTGTGTGTGTATATATATATATATATATATATATATATATATATATATAGGATTGCTGAAATGTTCTCAGTGTTTCCGACCCACTCCCACTTGGGAGAAGGGCTTCTTGGTCTGGCCGAGAACTTTTCAGTAATCACGCACATGACGTTGAATCAATAAGCTTCACATGTGCTTAACTTATCTAAATTGTGATCGGAAATTTTCACTGCATAAATTTCAATTTGCTCGAGGGCTTATGGCCACATTACATTGAAACACCGGTTGCCGAAGTTAAGCAACTAGAATGAGTGACCTTTTGGGAGTACCAGGTGCTGTGAGCTTGGATGTGTGGGTGGTGTAATGGATAATGTTTCGCAATTGTTATTCTTACAATCTAAAAATAACAAACAATAACTGTAAAAAACGAATATGAATAAAAATAAATATTCACAAGGAAAGAGATTTTTGTTGAAAAAAAATCTCCGCTGCTTGAAATATATGTTATTTATCACTAGGTTGCGAACTTATTGATCTGCCTCTGAATACGTATATAATTTTGTGTATCATATATATATATATATATATATATATATGAAAAATGTTTCCTACTTGGTGACTGACTATTCATGTGTATTTGAGAGATAAAGAGACAGATAATTTTCTTCGTCATTACCACTATCTTCTTAAATTAAAATTTTGGAAATTTTGTCCTATTTCCAAGGGCGTTTCCATTTCTGTCGTCAATCGGAATATACAATATGTCAGATTATACTTTATCCCTCGCAGATTACAGAAATACTTGCTCGGCCTGTTTGTAATTAAAAACTAATACTGATGATTTAGTCCTTCAGAATCTGAAGCAACCAAGATACAAGTGGCAACAGATGGGGTAACAACGTTTAATAATAATAATAATAATGGATCGTTTGGAATTGTCCCGAAGACATTTTTCGGAAAGAGGGAGAACTGGAAATCGGTGTAAAAACTTAATCCATCCAAATAGCAAGATTACTAAAATCGTCAAGAATACTGAGGAGAACACTTACTGTCACTTGATACTCAACGAAAACCACCAAATACGACATGTTGGAAAAATTTTACAAGAAAATAATAATAATAATAATAATAATAACAATAATTGAGAGGAAAAAAAAAAAAAAAAACAGAAAAGAAAATACCTCCTCGTCGATGAAGCTGTCCCTGGTGACCATAATATCAAGGTCAGAGAAATTGACATGCTAACGACATACATCGACCACTGGATTGAGGTTTTACCGAGATACGTTCAGGTCAATTTTGTCCCAGTTATCATTGGATCGTTGGGGTCTATACCAACAAAATCTTTGTTGTCTGGAACTGTAAATATTCTGCGAAAGGTGATCACTGATTGAGGTCGTACGACGATGAAAACCACCCAGAATGCAAGCTCTCTGGTTGAAAACGAAAAACCGCGAGGAAGAAGTAAAGATAATAATAATAATAATAATAATAACAATAATAATAATAATAACCTGACCACTACCGGATTTACATAAGGACTAGCATGGGCTTTATCATAGGGACACTAAGACTAGTAATGACTCCTCCCCAAGTGCCCACTTGCCACCCCATAAAACTAATATATATATATATATATATATATATATATATATATATATATAAACAGGAAATTTGTTTATTTTCATATTTAATGGGTTTCATTTGAAACAATTTGAAAAAATTTAGAGTATTTGGGCCCCTGTAGTTGAAGTGAGCCTTTTAAATTCGATGGGGACCCTTGCCTTTTTTTAAATATACATCCAGATTTTTCATGTAGCTTTTTTTAGTTTTGCATAATTTTGTCTAATTTACTTAATGTTTGCTGAATTTTATACTTCGTTGAACACAGACATGTAATGAGTGGGAAAATTCCTCAATATTGTATACCAAAAAAACATAAGCTAAAAATATTTTGTCATAGATACAGGGGGTGGGAACGAACATACGTACTGAAGGGCCCAAAGATCCTATTAGCCCAGGGGTCTCTTAAGGCCTAAATCCAGCCCTGACTCTGTTGCTCCGACAGACACGGCTCTCATGGCTTCTGATCGTAACTGATATCCATGTTTTGTCTTGAATTAAGACTGGCGACATTGAATAGGCTGTTCAGTATCACAGATATATTTGTCACTTGCCTGACTTAACCAGCTGGGTATGTCGGCTCGGGGCTAGCAGGCTGTGTATCTCGGTTCATGAATAGGAGTAGGAGGCTAGTGTCGTGGTCGGGTCTGGAGAAGGCATTTTTTAAAGGATAAGGCAGCCAAGGCGGCTTGAGTGTCACATCTAAACGCTTGGGGAACATCCTCAATCAGAGATCATCTGAACGGTCATGGTTACACGACGTGAAAGTATTTCTAATTCGGTTCTGTTACAAAGGATTTGCGCTGTTTTTATCAAAAGCTGCCATCATACCGTGTATATTTGAGAGTGTTGCAAGAACCTGGTTAACCCTTATCATCCTGGGTGACATGATGGGTTTATTGAGCTTTGTTTATTTGTTGTTTTTTTATTATTATTGATTCATTGATTCGTTTTCTACGGTTTGTCAACCCTTTGCAGGTTATTTAAAGCCACAAAAAAATTTGATTGTAAGAATTTTTTTAAGATAATAATGATTTACTGATACAAAAACTTACTAATTAACCCATAGTTGGGGAGAAAAGGTGAATTCGTACTTTTCTCAAAGGTATTTGCGCGTAAATGAATATAACTCGGTTCTCCTATTCAATCACCTACTCTATATGGATGATCTCAAATTCTTTGCCAAAGATGACAATAAGTTGAAGGGACTCCTCGATACTGTAAAATGTATCAGTGACGACATAGGTATGGATTTTGAATTAAATAAATGTGTAAAAGTAACATTCAAGAAAAAGAGAATTCCAGAAACACATTCAATAGATCTAGATTTTGTCACAAAGATTAGGGAACTGGAACAAGAAGAAGCCTCTAGGTACCTAGGAATTAGCGAGCCATTATCCATGACACCATCCGCACGTCTAAGCTTACAGCACCTGATATTCCTAAGTGGTCACCCATTTAGGTATTAACCAGGCTCGACGTTGCTTAACTTTGGTAATTGTAAGGGAACCATTATTTCAACGTGATATGGCCGTAAGCCTTGTTTATTTGTACCCAGCGTCATTTGGGGGGGCGTTCTACTCTCCCTCTCAATACTACTACTAATAATAATATAAATTGCAAGGATATGTTGTTTAGATACAACTAGTATCCCATTAATAATAGGAGCACTAGGAGCTTAATTAGAAACAATACTGATACATAGAGTAAGAAAGCTTTACATGAAATACAAAAGATAATACTCACCTCATCGAAAAAAAAAAACTCTCAATGTAATATGCATAATGAGGAAACAAATCTTCCTCGTTCTCTTTATATCCTCCCGTGTAATGTAAGTTCCACTCAAGCAGCTTCTTTCCAATAGCCGCTGCTTTGTGGAACCGACTACCAAGAGGCTACTTCCTCGATCACTACAGTCTTAAGCCGATCAAGTCTAGAGTCAACCGTTATCTTCCACACAAATCCGCATAAACTCTATCTCTGCTCTCTACCTGGTGTGGCTACGGGGACTTGTAAAGGGTGAACACTACTATAAAAAATGTTTCAGGTAAAAGACATGGTAAACTAAAGTAGTGTTTGAAACAACGAATCCACGAAATTAGAAATAATAATAATAATAATAATAGTAATAATAATAATAAGGATCAAACAACAGACAAAAAGAGTCAGCTTGAACGACAAAATTGAAGCAAAAAATAAAGGAAATCAGATGTGAGATATAGATATTAAATGAGATCACAAGAAACGCAAATGTCTCAACTCGCAAATACAGGAAGATCAAACGTAGATAGAAAATTAAATCACTAAATGAAATTCCAGCAATCAAGGAAATACTAAAACAAAAACTCCAGTTAAAGGCACATGAACATACGATACAAAAAATGTAGGTTTTATTGGCAAAACAAAATATTCCAAGAGGACCACAAGAAATTTTACAGGGACATTGGAAAGTAGTTATACCTGTCAAAAAGCCACCATCTATTGAAAAAGTGCCGAAATTTTGGGAAAATATTTAGAGCAGCCCAAAGTAATATAACCCCAATGTAGAATGGATTCAACGTGAAGAACAAATGTTGAATAAACCTCTACAAGCAAGGCAAAATATAACCATGAATAATGTTAGGAAATCCCAAAAATGAAAATCCTCAGGAAATGATAATATACCAAATTTTTGGCTTTATCATCTGTCATCAATCTATAAAACTCTTGCGCAAACTCTATCAATGCTTATTAATAATCCCAATGAAGTCCCAGAATAGACCACTGAAGGTATTACATGTCTCTTGCCAACAACGGGTGAAAAATTATAGGCCAATAACATGTCTGTCCACCATGTATAAATTGATCACGTCTGTCCTGACTAACCGTACTTACACTTTTCTCGAAGCAAATAACATTCTTCCTCCAGAGAGGTTCATATGGCTGCAAAGATCAACTACTGATAAACAAAATGATCCTGGAAAATTGCAAGAAAAGAGGTAGAAATCTGAGCACAGGATGGATAGACTACCGTAAAGCTTTTAATAGCATGCCACACTATTGGATCCTTAAGACTTTGGAAATGTACAAAGTCTCCTTGGTGGTAGTAAATTTCCTTAAACACAGCATGGGATTGTGAAAAACCACATTATACCTAAATCCCAGCTGAGGCACTGCCACACTCAACCGCCTGAATATTCGACAAGGAATCTTTCAAGGAGACTCCCTGTCACCGCTTTTGTTTTATCTGTCCTTAACCCCCCTTACGCATGAACTAAACAATAATAGCTATGGATGCAAACTAAACAAGACATTATTCAATCACCTACTCTACATGGATGATCTCAAATTCTTTGTCAAAGACGACAATGAGTTGAAGTTTTTCCTCAATACTGTAAAATGTTTCAATGACAACATAGATATGGATTTCGGATTAGATAAATGTGCAAAAGTAACATTCCAGTAAGAGAGAATTATAGAAACACACTCAATAGATCTAGATTGTCACAAAGATTAGGGAACTGGAACATGAAGAAGCCTATAGGTACTAGGAAATTAACGAAGGTGATGAAATGTAGCATACCCAAATGAGGCAGAAGGTAGGAAAGGAGTACTACAGGTATGTGCGTTTGACACTGAATACCGAGTTGAATTCCAAAAACAGAATATCAGCCGTAAACAGCTTGGCTGTCCCTGCGGTGCAACAAAGTTTCAACATCATTAACGGTACCATAGCTGACTTTAAGCGAATGGACGCCAAACGAGAAAGCTTCTCACTTGCCAGCATATGCATAATCCCAAGGTTGATGTTGATCGTCTGTATGAGCCCAGATCCGAAGGAGGCAGAGGATTAGTTCAACTAGAACTCTCTTGCAAAACTACAACAACTGTCCTTCAAAGATACCTGGAGACTACAGAAGACTGGATGATGACCTGAGTCAAAGAACGTGAAAGAGTTAAACTTTATTCAATAAAAAAGGAAGCCAACAAGTTCAAAATGGAGATTCAAATGAGTGAAGAAATGCAAATAAAGAATAGTACACCAACTGCAGCTGCAAAATACTTTTAAAAAGACAAATGCAACCGACCAGATACAGAAACGATAGCAAGATAAACCGCTTCACTTTCAAATTTCCGCCCGTAACAAACTGATGTAGACCAATTCCGTACCTATTAGTGGCTACGTAGTGCAGGGCTAAAAGCTGAAACCAAAGGTTTTATTCTTGCTCTACAGGGCTAATGGTTGCTAACTAGAAATATACTGAAAAACTATTTTAGCCCCAAATGCAGATTTTGTGATAAGTATCTAGAAACAAGTAACCCTCTTGTATCAAGTTGCACGGTATTGGCACCCACTGAATATAAAACCCAGCATGACATAGTGGACCAATATCTGCATTGAAAAATATGCAGCTTTTCCGGAAAGGAAACTGCAAGAAATTGGTACCAACACCACCAAGACCCGGTTACTGAAATAGGAGCTGTAACAATTTCTATGAGACTTTACAATACACAGAGACAGAACAATCAAAGCTAACCGCCCAGACATCGTGATTAGGGACCCGCAAAGATAAAATGTGCCTCCTTATTGATATGGCAGTTCCTGCAGATTGTAAAGTATCTTTGAAGATCTTCAGCTATCAAAATACAAGGACCTTGAAATGGAAATTTAAAAAATGTGGCATATGAGGACATCAGCAATTCCAATTGCAGTTGGAGCCCTCGGATTGATTGAAAAAAGGTTCCAATAGATTCATTGAAGGGATTTCTGGTAGCCTATGCCTTCAAGGAAAACAAAAAATGTACTCACAAGTACAGCTAACACATTACGAAGAGCTTTATCTATGTAAACATTTTTTTAAAAAAATGAAAATGTCATGAAGCCATTTCTGATCTTAGGTCTCTGGTTGGGACACGGAAGGAAATGAGCATACAACAGAAATCAAAGGAAATAATAATAATAATAATAATAAGAAGAAGAAGAAGAAGAAGAAGAGGATAATGTAAAAAAGTACGGGAATATTGAAGAGACTTGCCATCACTTGATCTTCAATGAAAACCACCTGTTCCTACTGGTGTTAAAAATTACTGAGAATAAATAATAATTGCTGACTCAACGTAGCTGAAGGATTAGTTCAGCGGTATAGCCTTGAACTGATGGCCATCAAGTCCAACATCCTATCCATATTGTCATGTTAAATACAATAAAGCCCCTATGTTAATTGCCTCGGGTGTCGATATTAATGGGAAGTTGTATTTTTTTTTGTCTATTTTTTTCGTGACGTTTCCTCTGCCATTTGATATATCCATCACTATATTTATAAATTTACTGTCAGATCGTCCATTTCCTTTACTTATATTTTCGCGGTTCATCCTGATTTTTTTCCTTTACCATCTTTTATTTACCATTTTTCGAATCAGTCTACCTTCAACTTTCTTATAATTGTCGACATTTAGATTTTTCACTGGGTGCTTCCTGCTTTTCTTTCTTTCTCTTCCATTAATTCACTTTCTTTTTTTTTTTTTTTTTGCTTTCTTTACGTTTTTATTTTTCATCTCCCATTCGTTTCGTCCCTGCCTTTCCTTATTCATTTTTTTCTACCTATTTTTTTTTGGCTTTTCTTTATTTTCTTCTTTTTGATTTCCTCATCTAAACCTTTCTTTCTTTCTTTCTTTCTTTCTTTCTTTCTTTCTTTCTTTCTTTCTTTCTTTTACGGTTTTTCTTAGTTAAGCAGTCGCATAACCAGTTTCCCTAAAGTATTGTAAACTAGAAAATGTTTCCGAATATCGACATTAAGAGTAGTTGAATTCACAGGTTCGACCGAGTCTTTTAAATTCATTTTTACTACATTTCCTTCTATTCTGAATCGGCTTCATTGCGGGAAAGACGAAGCGTTTGTATGTAACACCTGTTGTCAGCGCTCGAAATAAAGAAAATGAGGGGGAAAAAAGCAAACCTTGAATCTTTACATAAAACTGTTGAAATATTCTCCTTTGGGAGATTAGTCATCGTCAATCGTATCGTATGATCTATCTATCTATCTATCTATCTATCTATCTATCTATCTATCTATCTATCTATCTATCTATCTGTCTCAGTCTGTTCATAACTATCTAAGTTTAGGATAGGCTTCGGGTTTGGCTAGGCTTAGTGCTGGGTTATGGTTCATTCATATCTATCTATCTATCTATCTATCTATCTATCTATCTATCTGTCTGTCTGTCTGCCTGTGGGTCTGTCTCAGCTTGTTCATATCACTTTCTATCTATCTCGTTTTTAATGTTATGTGTTTTTTGTCTTGAACATCTTTCTCTTTTTCATTGCTGTACTTTAGTCGAATCTTTCATTTATCTTTGTTTCACTCTGCTACACTCACTCACTCACTCACACACTCACTCACTCACTCACTCACTCACTCACTCACTCACTCACTCACTCACTCACTCACATTGTTCTCCCGCACCAAACCATATTCCATCTGCGTCGCTTCTATCAAATAGAAAAAAAAATGGTTCAGTACAGCAACCCTTTCCCCCGGCCGTCAGTCTCGATATTAT